TTTGTGATCGATACAGAACATTTTAACATTTTAAAGTGAACCAACATTATGGGCGAACCAACAGAATGTGTCGCCAGCAAAAGCTTATAAAATCTATCTTTTGTTTTAAATATTGAAGAATAAATCTCTTAAACTTATATTTCAAATTAATCAATCCTCTATTTAGTACTCAATTTATTAAATCTGTTGACTAATTTATTCGAATGAGGAGATTCACAATTGATTTAAAGCATAGAATATAAGAAAATTTACATTATACTTCACTTTACAAATACAAGACCTCATCAACAATATTCAATGCTTCAAAGTCCATATGTCGGTTTACCATGTTGTTAAAATTAGTAAGACCTGCTTTATCTTTGATATTAATTTTTGTTTCAGAAGCATGAATGTATCAGAATTAGTTGAAGTAAAAATACAAATAAAAAATAGAAATGGGATATTTTGATAAAAGATTCATCATTATTAAATATCCATTTATGTTAAATATATCATCTTCTGAAGATAAATTAATCAAAATTGTTACAATATTGACAGACTCAATTGTAAATTGGTTTCGCCAATCTCTATAAAGCTTTTTTAAGAATAAAGAAACCCCATTCCATGCTATTTGAGATGGCACAATCGAAAACATTTTAACAACGAATCTTCTAGATTTGTATAATATTATAACTATATACCATGTAAGTGTGAATTCTTTTTGAGAATCAAACACTACGTCGCGAGGTTCTTCATTACAATTATATGTTTACAAAATTCAACCAATAGGCCAATTCATTCAACTTGATCATGTCAAAGAGCTTCCAATAGATTCTAATTTTATAATTGTTTTACTTTAAATTTAATAATTGCAGTAGTTTAGTTTTATGAATATTTTCAACTATGCATGCCAGTATCAAAAAGTAGGTGTAGGAGTTATCAAAAACGAAAGTTTTTTTGCCATCAAAATCACATGATTTGGATTACTAGATAATGAGATATTGCTGTCCGCTATGATGTTCAAATTTGATTTATGATGTTCAAATTTAATTGGTTAAATATCCAATCAATGTTTAAATCAATATAACAGATCGACACAAATCATCCTGACAAGATAGAAAATCTCCTCCCATTAATATTACGAATTAGCTTCAGACATGTATATTAGCTTAAAATAAAAACAAGACCTGAAGTATTCATAAATCTCCAACACAATTCAGAATTTTCGAATACTATAAAATAGTATAAAGTTATTTTACCATGCAATGCTGATGTTAAATTTTACTGAAGCTGAAACTAACAAATAGCACTAAGTGATTAGGTTGATCACCAATTATGATAACAAATCAGACACATTAGTTTCAGATTCAACGAAAGTTAATAATCAATATCAAACTTGCATTATGTTCGATCGATTCCCATTTCCATGGACTCACTGTCATGTTCAATTTATAAATAACACGAATTCGAGGAGCTACACCAGTCAAACCACCCCAGATAAGTATAACCTTCGGTTCAATTAAAACTGATCGTGGTTGAAAAATTAGACCAATCCCTTCAGGATAATTATTCAAATTTTGAATTTCATAATCTTCATTCCAAGCATTTGATGTGAAGTTATAAACTTGGAATCTGGCTACTGGTGGATGTGATCCACCAATGATTAAAAGCAAACCCAAAGAAGGTTCGACGATACATGTCATATCGCAAGTATTAAAAGTATTAATAGTATTAAGAGCTTCCCATGGAATTGAAGAAGTATTAAATGGCATTTTTGCTTTATAAAAAAAAAAAATCTACCGTATAATTATCCATTTGAAATCACCTCCAAATAAGTAAACTGCATCATAATATGTAAAGAGACAGTGACATTCTCTTACTCCTGGACTATCTAATAAAGCCATTATCGTAGGAATTGGAGCGTTATTTTTTTAACCGCGATTAGCCACTTGTTTATATTATGATTAAACGATATAAACGATTAAATAACCAATCATACGGGGCAAACAAATTTGTATGTCAATAGACAGCATTCTCATTCATGTGTAGGGTTACTGATGCAAGATACTTGGCAACGTAAATTGTGTTTGTGTACCAATACTGCAATATGGTGCACAAGCTTGCACAGCAACATAGTTGAGATTATTTATGGGTAATGGACAAAATGCGTATGGATGCGTAAAAAAAAAAAAAGAGAGTTATATGAATCATATAAATCTTGATGTGAAAAATGCACATTGGCACATCTCTAGTTGTGGTTACTTCTTACTAGAGAGACAGGGAATTACAACACACGTGAACTTTCTAATTGACTTGAAGGTGTGAATCAGTTTCAGCACAATGAGATTATT